ACTCTAATGGAAAGAGATGTTTTGGATATAAATGTTTTAGTAATTAATGTATGCACTAAACATTAAATTCAAAATCTTATCTACTACCCATCAAAAAAATTGCATACCTAAGTTCTTTGGTCTGCAGATCTATAGGATCATGAGTTTCACTGTCCATGTGAAATCGAACTTCAGGAGAAGAAAGAGTCAAAGCCCTAAATAAAAAATAAAGAGATAAATTTCAAGTGAGCCAGTAACAGAGACAAAATTCTGGAAATGGTTCTTTTAAAACAGAAAATGACCATATCAAGTGTGTAACAGCTGCTCTTCTGAAGGCTTTACGACTATCTGCTACATTTTATGCTCTATTTTCATGAACAGGTTAGTATTTTAGAGACCTAAAATGCATTTAACAAGAGATGACAACAGCAACTCAATAAAATCTGAGTCCCTATGCTTCTGAAGGTTTGAATATCTTCTTTGTGTAAACTATAGTTTTTACTGAGCTACACTGGTTTGTAATCACTTTTACAAATAAATAAGGTGACTTGCAGTGTTTTATTTTCTACAGAAAACAATGTACTTGGGCTAGGGGATAACAAAGAGGGGCAAAAGGGAAGCTGCCACGGGTAAGTTAGTAACATCAGAAGATTCAGAGTCCAAAGGTATATTCCCTACAGATTCAAGCAACAGAGTAGAGACTGACAGACTACTACCACTAATTTGTTACAAGTACTGATGGCTATCAATATTTGGTGCTATGTATCAGATAACATACTACGCTAAGGGGTTTTTGTGTATGATTTATTTAATGAGTTGGCATGTTCTCCTTTGAAAAGTAAATTCCCATAAGGCAAGGCAAGGCAAGTCTAATGTTTCTTCATACCTTGACATTACTTTCATCTGGTCAGTTCCAAATCAACTTAAAACTAAGAATTTTAATGAGGCTGGACAACCCTGGACAATCATGGAGAAGTGACAGAAAGTGAAGGGGAAAAAAAAAAGAGGAGACTGAGCAAGTTAAATGAGAAACCAAGCCCTTTTCTTCCTCAACTCCTCACCTTTACTAAGAGAAAGCTCCAGTAAGAATATGCACTAGAAAGGGAATCTCAACAAATATTCCTTTCCTGCTATGTAATACTTTAAAAAAAGTTCTATATCAGACCTAATATGTTTATTGATGTATCTTGACATAAAAAGCAATGTGATATACTTATCACATTTTGGTTCTTTTCTTCATAGCACACTTAAAATGTTATGTCTACTCATGAGTATTCATTATTTAAGAAGGCAAAAGATGTCATTTTTTTGCTGATTGTTTTCTTAATTCTCCCTGAGACTAAGAATCAATGATGTTTTACCAATAGATGACCATCTACTTACAAAATTAAAAATACAGACTGTTTCTGAAGTTAAAAAATATCTTTCCCAATTTTGAGAAGCTATTTTACAAATGCAAATTCTTACCTTAAAACAATCGAAATAAATCTGGCTTCACTTTCTGTTTAAAAACCAATTATTTGCTTGGTTTTTAAAAGAATTTTTTTAAAAATTATCATTATACAAATTTTCTGATGCCTGGCATACTGTAAACCTTCAATAAAAAAATTGCTGCATGATGTGTCGTTTTGTGTAACAAAAAACCCAATTATATTTCTGCTACATGTAAATGACATGGATGAGCAAAAGCTTTGCTCTAATTTGATAACTTTCACTGGGTTTTAATATATCCAAATTATCTGTACAGTTTTAAGTTTCATAACTAGGATCATATGAAAAATTCCCAGAAAACTGAGGTGCCAGTAGAGACAGGTGTGGCTCAGCATTAACTACCTAGAATACTGTTGAGAGGAATGCTCTGTAGTGATGGAAACATTCTACACTCACCCTGTCCAATATGACAGTCATTGGCCACATGTGGCTACTGAGTTCCTGAAATGTAGCTAGTAATACTGAGAAACTAAGTTGTTAATTTTATTTCATTTAATGAATTTAAACAGGCATATCTTATGAAACAGTGCAGGTGTAGGGTTTACACTCCCCAACAAAAACACTTTTAGTTAACTGCTTGGTGTCCTGGATGGGCATGGGAACCCAGAGACCAACATCTGAAAGGCTAACGTACTTGGTTTTCTCTGAAAGCTGATGACATCTTTCAAGAATCAAATTTCTTTTAACTGCTTTCTTTCAACAGGTTTGAGTTAACATTCCTTACCTTAAGTCTTTAGTAGTTAGGTAAATGCCATGACATAACAGCTAGAAGACCCGGATCTGCTCCTTGCTATTAGATCTTTGGGAAGACTGTTTCTATGTAACTTTTAATTGTTTAAAAAATTAAGGGGTTGAATTAGATAATCTCTAAAATCTCTTCCAAATCTAAAGTGCAAGGAGGACTTCATCTACATTTATTTAACATCTGAAAACCAATGTTCAATCTGGAAACTCATTTCCAATTAAAATTAGAAATAATCCATATGAGTCTCAAGAAGTTCTTGCCTTCCTGGAATTTGTTCAAGATCTCTAAGTCAAACACATCATTTTTTGGCACAACAAATCACAAGGAAAGAACTCCAGGG